GTGTGTGAGTGCAGTGACAAATGCATGTGTCCAAATTGAGTAGAAGCATGTGTGGTCACAAAAATGCAGAGCTAGAGAACATATAATTTATTATGGAGTGAAAACTCTATGATATCAGAGCCTGGCTCACACGGCTAATTCTGGAAAGACTGTTAGCTACGTCCCTAGCAACTGTTGGAGCTAGTGCTAGCAAAAGTTAGCTGCTAGTTAACTTTAATGTAAGAGTTAGCAACACTAAACAAGTTTGTTGTAATGGTACTCACCTGTCTGAAGGTGTCACTGTCAGAGCTTCGTGCACCGCAAAGTCCTCCTCAGTCTGCTTTAGGTTATTTTTCTTCATGTTCATTCTCACCTAACTGAAGGTGGAAGTTTCCAAGCAAATGTAGAGATCACTGGAGCAGGAGCATTGACCATGTGCAGGTTAGACACACTTCAAATGGTCCCAGCATGCACCTGTGCTGTGCACATGCTGGCCAGGTGGTGCATTAAAGTAGTGATTAATTAAGGTAGCAATAAATGAAAATATCTTAAACATTTAACTAAAATCACTTTTTATGGTTGTGATGGTTTTAAATAATGGGTGAGGAAGACATGGCTTTATTCTATTGTTTAATTATAATGTTTAATTTTGGTGCTTGGTTTAATTTTGGTTTAAGTTTTAGCCATGCTAGCGTCATGAGTCAAATATCTTAAAAACTGGCTTATTGGATGGATTGCTAGGAAAGAAGTACAGAACTGTGCTACTTGTGTTAAGTGCTAATTGACAAATGTTAAAAACAAAGAACATCAAATGTTAGCATGCTTAACCTTTTTAACCCTAAGCCTATTTTATAGGCCTCTGCTCGAAAATTGCATACCCATAATGAAATGAATATATCTCTGCAACCACAAGGTCTATTTGAATACTTCAAGTGTCATGGTAAAGGGAACACTTGTGAGATTTGTTAAGATGTGTAAATATCAGTATGTGTTATCAGGGGCGAAAATCCCATTTCATAGTTGGGGGGGACAATAAACAGTAAAATTTTAGAGAATATAATTCCAGGGTGGGACAAGGAAAAAAAGTTGTAGCCTGTCTTTTATACAGCATCTTTTACCGTAGTTTGATGCTTTAATCTTCTCTCTATCTCTCCAACAGGCAGAGTGAATGTCTATACTTAGGAGAAATGGCTTAACAACTAAACATTTCCTGCAAATAAACTGGTAAACTGGTTTATAAACAGTGTGCTGTGAGATCTGCCGCTGTGCACCTCACAACCGTGCGTAATAGTCGCGCGTAATGACCGCTCCTCGTCGGTTAGACTGCACATCTCTCATGTTTGTCTCACTGACAGGTGGAGAGCCTACAGACAGGTACCCATTAGCTACGAGCCGCTCCGCCACTGACTGCTCTTGTCCTGTCCTCTCCCTCTTCTTTCTCTCCTGTCCTCTCTGACTATCACTAAACTCTGAGCTTAATCATTAGCTTTTAGTTTAGCAGCACTCGTAATTGAGTAGGCTTTTGAACAATGCAGGAGAAATGTTGCAGACAGTTTATATTATCAGCCTGGGCCTGGGGCTTGTTGTAACAGTAAATGGGATGTGTTGTAACTTGTGTAAGTTAAACTGTGTCTGTGTGAGTGAACATCTTACCCTGCGATGCGCGATGTGGGCAGCGGGTCCAGCCACATGCTGCTACTGCTGCCAAGCAGCCCCGCCCGTTGGAAAGAGTGTGGGATACACCACTACTAGGAATGGGAGGGGGGGACTAAATCTTTAAAGATTTAAATAGCACATTATTGCGCGATTATAATGAGCACCACTTACAATGTGCTTTCAATAAATACTACTGAAATATTCAAAAATTATTAATTGTGTCTCAAATTATTCTAGGGGGGGACAGCTTTACTGAAGGGGGAGTCATGTCCCCCCTGTCCCCCCCGGGATTTCCGGCCCTGTGTGTTATATGTGAAGAGTAAATGAAGATGGTACACAGCACGAATGAAACATTTTGAGGTTTGCCTAAAAAAAAAAGCATGTTTGCATGTGATTTTTGTCATGTACAAAACTATATCTTTCATTTTTTGTTTTTGTAAATCCTGATGTTTAGGATATACACATACAACTGTCCGTTTCATTTTTTTCATGTATTTCCCACTCCAAACTGACCAATACACACCTACTACATGTGAAACTGATTTTCTCTTCTGTGCTTTGGAGGCTCTATCTCCGCAACGGCTTGGTCAATTCGTTGTTGTTCAGTCTTATCCTTAACGACCGATTGTCAATCAATTGCTATCATCCCAAGTAAATACCTAAAATTACGTTCATCTTCCTTCGTATAGGCTTCATCATAGGTGATTAGTTTGTTGTTGTGTTAACACTTTGCAGTGTTTGTGTACTCCCTGTATGTTTTTTAATGTTTTTAAATGAACTGCTGGAGAGATCAGGATGCAGTTGGCGAAAGCAGTGTATGAGAGAACATTATATTTACAGTGTATACAAACTGCTCACTCAGTCCCGCAGCCCCCAGTGCTGTGTGAGGGAGTGGGGACATTTAAGCACGACACAAAAACAGAGCTAGACGAATGTTACTGGCTCTCTGTGTGCCTCTGCCAAAGCTCCATCTTGGAGCCATAAAGCAGAGTGTGGGAGTCAGGAGATGGAGAGAGGAAGGGGGGCAGAGTTGTGGCAAACCAAAATCCTTCCCTCCTCTGATCCATTTGATGTGTTCCCTCTCCTCTGTAATAGGCTGATGTCCTTGAGAAAAAGACAGAGGGGGGAAAAAAGGCAAGATTCACCAAAGATGAGCTCCAACAGCAACGGAGACAACTTTCAAATCTGCTCCTACTTTTCTTGCGCACATGCAGATTGCAAGCCTGCTGTTTCATCGCGGTTTGATCCCAGGCAGAGGCAGAACCGTATGAATTATAGATCAGCTTATATTCCAACAGATCCTATGTAGTCAGGGGAGAAGAAGCTAAACTAGATGTAACGTCAACGCCATTAAAAACAAATAGACCTCTCATTCTGCGGGGTCAGTCCCATTTTTCAGATCAAAACCAATTAGTGTCATCTCAGGCTGAATCGATTAAGAATCTACAGCGTGGCAGCCACAGAACATGGTGCTTAGACTTTAGAGGAACGGATGGCACAATCCAGTTTGCTGATAAACCAAATCCTCACTTAAATGAGAAATCCACGCAGTGCTGCTGCCAGTTCAGCTGAAGGGCTCTGGATCAGCCTGATTACTTTGGTCTGACTGCAGCAGATCAAAGTAATCCCCAAATACTAAAGGAGTACGTACACAGAGCAGCCATGTAGTACACTGAAGCACAGTGAGACGATGTGAAAGCTGTACGTTGTGTAAGTCTTTAGGGGATGCATATGAATGTGTGTGTATGTGTGTGTGTGTGTGTGTGTGTGTGTGTGTGTGTGTATGCGCATGTGCAAATCTATGTCTACAAAAGCCGCAGTATGTGTTTGTGGTGGTCTGCTGCAGAAGCAAAGCACGCTGGGTTTTTATAATCAGGATTCAGGGATCACCTTTAGCCCCCGTCATCAGTCAGACCTGTCCTAAAGCTCCAAAACAGGCAGAGAGGGAGGACGGAGGAAATGAAAAGGACAGATGGGGACACCGAGACGCTAAGGTCCTCGTTTCACACAAACGATGCAGCCTGAAAAATGGGTGAATTGAGGACTCTGAGGGAGTGGGGCTGACGATACCACTGAATTTTACCCCTCTCATCTACAAATGAGCAAAATATTCTATACTCTTGAGAAATTTGCTGATATCAAACAAAAAAATCTAAATATCAGGGTTGTTTTCCCGCTTACTGTACCTCCTGTGGATACAAAGTTTTCGCAGTGGAGACTGTGCCTATTAAAACATAAAAAGAAAGGAACATTTTGAGGGTTGTTTTTCTTGCTTGGTTTCTTGAGATTGGTTTGATTCTTCAAAAAAAAATCCATCTTCACGTTTGACAGATGGTTTTTTAAATTAGTGTGAAAACCATTCATAATTTCAGACTCATTTCTTGTCAGCTCCAGCTAAAAATAGATTTAATAATGTTAAATATTCTAATACAGATTCTGTTCAAAGTTACTGGTGTGCTAGGATACAAAATCTAATCATGGCAAATATTACGACTTTGCTTCTCCCTTTTCACTCCGTAATATATATCTGTCCGCTTTTTTCTGTGTGTAATAATACGACTGTGTGCACTCACAACATGTGTGTGTGTGTGTGCGTGTGTGAACTATACACAGTGCCAGCATGTGTACACAGCAGGTCTCATTTCCTGATTCTCCGGTCAGATGCTGGTTTCTCTTTTGAGAGGCGAGCCCACAATGACATCAGCTTCCGCCAACACACCAGCCGTCGCCATGGCACCACACAAAGACATTTCTGGCCAAGAGGGAGGGGGAGCATCATGCTTGACACGTTTATAGGAGAGGTCTGTGCTCCCCTCTCCTCTTATACCCTCCTCCTCCTCCTCCTCTCCCTCCTCCTCTTTCTCGATGGCTGTTTGTACAGCCGCCTGCTCTGTTTACCAGATCATCAAAGAGCTTCTCTGACTTCCATGGCTGTAGTAGCCCGGGCCTGGCCTGCTCTCTCTATCTGTTTTAGCCTCACAGCATCTCTCTTCTTGCTCTTCCAACTAATGGCTACTGCTATCCATTAACTCCATTTGAAATCTTTCTTTCTCAGCCTTCTATTTTAGACCCTCTTCCTCCCTCCCCCTCTTTTGGGTCTCTCTTCTTGTCGAATGGAGCCATGACTCCAAGGGCAAAATGCCGAGTGAAGAAGTGACCACCCACTGGGCTTTGTCTAACTCTTTGCCCCAACGGACAGAGGGCCTGTGTGTGTGTGTGTGTGTGTGTGTGTGTGTGTGTGTGTGTGTGTGTGTGTGAGTCACACAGAGAGGGAGAAACAGACGGGACAGAGAGTGACAGGTAGGGGAAAACCCCAACACAAAAATATTTCAATACCCATCTCTTAAAAATGAACAATGACAACATTTGGCTGAAAAATATCACTTATTACTTTAATGCAGTTTCGGGTTTAGGCTAGAAACAAAACAAAATTAAACATATTTTCGTTTACGCCACCTTTTTTCCATTTAAAGACAGGTCTAACACTTAAAAGATAACTTAGCAGAATGAAACTGCTATCTAATGACTAACAAATATTCAGATAAAAAAAGATTAGTTAAGACTAAACCATACTTAAAGGATAACTTGGGCATTTTTCAACTTCCTATTTTCCCGTGTGTGTCTTTAAGAGACTGCTGTAAGCAACAGTTTTTGAAATCGGTCCAGTATTGAGCGAAAGGCAGCAGCTGACAGCCGCACAACAGGCCACAATGTAAGTATATGGGGCAACTGAACACCGTCACTGTACCTACATCAAAGGTGGTTATTATTGTTGCAGACAGGCTCAGATTGTTATTATAAGTGGCTACCTGTTGTCCCCCCCTCTTCTCTTCTGCTCTTAAATTATTAGGTGCTCTTTATCCATATACTCCGGCTCAAATAAATGCAGACGCCCATCAAATTCAAGGCCTCGTTTTTATTGTCGAAATCATTTAAATTATCATCCATACACTGCAACACATTCTCACTCTGACCTCGTCACATATCGCCACTTGGTTGTGGACTTTCCACATCTACATGACATGCCACACAGCCTGGGTGTATCTGTTGTTGATGTTCTGGGAGGCCATGTCAACTTCAGCCTGTTAAATGCATTGTGTCTTTTCAAAATACACTTCCATTTTCACAGGAAATGTACAGATTGCGCACAGCCCCTTCAAAATAAACACACTACGTCGGTACAACACCACAAATTTACGTTTTACATTCATACGTGAGGCTAACACTGGCCTCCTGGGTGAAAGTCAGTGATTGTTGGACCCATCCACCAACCCTCCCAACCAGCCTACTTGACATTTCCAGCCCCGCTAACTGATGTTGTTGTCCAGCTGCAATTTCTTTGACGCCGTCAGACAATGTTACACAATGATGGCGCCTGGCTGCATATTATGCCAATGTAAAAGGATGTCTTTTTTTGTCAGTGTCTGTTGCGGCTTCAGAATGATACCAGGCTGTGCATGGAAAATCTTTTACATACTACATTTCTGTTTTCTGTACTCCACAACAGACTATTCCCCTTACTACTCTCTCCAAATCTCACTCACATTTCCATTGTTGTTTCCCTGCAACAGGTCACACATGGTGAGATTTCAGAACGAGAATTCCGCCTGATGGGACAATAACAGACTGGATCAAGTGAAAGGTAAAGAGACACTCCAGCCACTTATAGTAACAATCTGAGCCTGTCTGTGGCGAAAATAACCACTTTTAATGGAGATACAGTGTGATACAGTTCAGTTGCCCCATATGCTCTCACTGCAGCCCCTTGCTCAGCTGCCGGTTGCTGCCCTCTTGCTCAGTACTGGAGCAATTTCAAAAACTGTTGTTCACATCAGTCTGTTAAATGACAATACATGGGAAAATAGGGCCCAGGTTGACAAATGTTATCCTTTAGATATGATTTATTCTTCATTTATCTTTTTTTTATCTGAATATTAGTTGGTTATTAGTTGGCAGTTTTGTTTTGCTATGAGCATAAAAAGCTAGGAGCAGAGAAGAAGTAAGATGTACAGTACAAGTGTGTGTAGGCAACACATAGAAATCAGCTTCACTGACACTGCATAAGCTGAATTACATGTGGGTGGGCTTCTTGCCTTGGGGGGACATCTACCATCCAACACACCTCTGCAAAATTAAGGCACTTAGATTTTTCAGCAGAGTTTTAGTTGTTCCGTGACAGCAGGTAACAGCCAGAGATACTGTTTAATCAAACTATTTTGCCTGTCATTAATTTGTATTTCTGTAGAATGTATTGTATACTAGGGAAGGGAGTTTGAAATGAATATCTTGGTATTTATAATTTTCCATGTCACCAAATTTATGCAAAGTCATGTAATGGTGCCCCAGGTGTACCTCTCCCTCTCCCTCTCCCTCTCCCTCTGGCTTAACATGAAGAATCATCCATTGAAGACATTTCTCTGTTTACTAACCACAGGCTCCTCAATTTCATTGAGCAGCAGTTCCTTTTAACGCGCAGTCATTTTCTGCCTGCACTGTTTTTGCCTCAGTCTAAAAATAGGCACTTTTACCTAAGTTCCACTGTTCTCACTCAACCTCAGCTCCATGTGTGTCTCTGCTGCCTGGCAGGATGATCTGCCACACTGAAGTCTCTCCTTCTTGTGGCCGACAGAGGAACAACAACCTCCACCCAGATTCCAGATGATGTCATAGCTTGTACTGTCACTTTATTGCATCTACATTTTCAATCAGTTAGACATATACGGTACAGGTAAGCTTATATAAAATCATGGAACTCAGGTGATAAATCAAACCACTCTTGCTTATGTGAAAATATCTAAAATAATAAAGCAGGTGAGAAGGAGTATTTCAGTGATGCTGCTGCTACAGGATGAAAGACTTATTGATCATTACAGTGTAAGTAAAACATCTCTTACAAGTCAGACAAAGTCATGTCTAATAAGTCAGATCTTAACAAATGTTTGTGATGATTTAAAGAAAATATACTTGGCGGTTTTATAGCTTGTCTTGATGTGTGGTAGAAATTAATATAATACAGCTGTAGCTATAAGTTGAATACATTTTTAAATGAACATTTCATCACAAAATTAAAAAAAAATACATGTTTTTCCTCTTAACTGCAGTGCTATTCATTGGACATATGAAGTGTTGGACATTCGTTGGACATAGGAAGCGTGCATCTAGAGGCTAATGGTGTCCTCTTCAGCTGAGCTGTAACGTTAGCTAGCTCAGCAGCGCTAGGTGAGCTAGCAGTTGATGCACAATTCCTTCTGCGTGGTGAGGCAGTTAGTGGGTGTGGTTTGGTGGAATGAAAATAGTTCCTACATTAAAGTGCTCACAACAAGGTCTGTGGATCCTCTTGAGTGACTGGGTCATGATTTCTGGAAAGAGACATTGCTGTTGAGCTTTTCAAATGTATTTTTGGTGCTTTGAGCACCACAAGCCGAGTGCCATCTAGTTCCATTATATTTGAAAGAAGGTGGACATCTCTACAACACTCAGCAACTCACATCAAAACAATCTTGATTGATGAACAGCTCTAAAAGTAAGAGGAAAAATACATATTTTTTATTTTGGGGTGAACTGTCCCTTTAAGAGTAAAGCTTGCGCTACAGCTCACAGTCCCCTTCATGTTCCCTCAGGCTCAACATGCTAGGAGTCACACAGTCTGTCTCTCAGCCAGCACAGAATTCATTGCTTTCTGTATTCTTCTCACCTCACATCACATAATTCACATCACCCAAAGTCACGCGAGGTCATCAGAACTGTGCCTTGTTGCTCACTCCCCTCCCATTATGGCACCTCTTCCCCAACACAACAGAATCCCGCAGGGTCCAAAGTGAGGCGACATACTTTAAGCCAGTTTGACAGCACCCAGGAAGGTGGCGTCTCCATACAGGGACACGTTGGCTGTGGAACGGGGGATCAGCAGCTCCAAGTGGTCGCCGGCCTCCAGCTTCACGATACCTGAGGGATGCAAACACACACATTAAACCCTGACTTGCCATGGTCGTTTTTTTCCTGCCACAAACAGCTATCGCCCATACCAGACTGCTGACACACATGTGCAGCCAACCCCCAGACACACACACACACACACACACACACACACACACACACACACACACACATGCTTGAGAGCTCAACAACAAAACACTGACTGATCTTCCATAACAGCTGTTGTAAAATAGGGTGAACATAGCTTGACATAAACACTAACTCAGGCTCACCTCCTGTGAAGCAGGTGTTGTACGGGTGAACAGGGTTCATATTCTGGATGCAGCGGAACAAGATCACAGACTGAGGCTCGTCTCCCACCACATTCCTCTTCCTCCGAATCACCACGTGACCCATTGCAAAGGTGCTGTCTATGTAGTAGACCTGAGCACATCAGAAATACTGGGTTAAATATACTGGGTTAAATATATGGCACAAGGCACAGACTTTAACATGTATAAACAGGCAGGTGGATGCCACTTCATTTATTATGTGAGCATCATTTGCATTGTTTCCTCTCGGTCTGACCTTTCTTCAAGGTCTCTTAACCAGGGACATGCTTAGATCAAGCAGACCCTTTTTTTCCTGCAATGTATGTAGACATGTTCCCCTCCTGTTAAATCTGGTGATTAGCAAACAGGCAAGCAGCACCTCCCTGTGGAGAAACTATGGAATGACAACAAGTACACCTACCTGGCCGTACACAAAGTAGAAGCCCTCCTCTCTGACCAACATGCAGTCTCTGTCTGCCTCCAGGGCAGAGCCTCTCCTCAGCCCAGCCTGCCAGGGTATACCTGTGTGTGGCTCCGACTTATATTCTGTTTCAATAAATAAGAATATATCAGAAAACACATCAAAGAGGTTGCTGATGGTGGTTTCTGCATATATGTTTATATACATTTTACAGTAATATTAAAGCTGCAGCTGCAGATTTTATAAGAAATAATTTCTTTTAATATTTGCTGGAACTGTTACTACATACACACAAACTATTATATGAGACAGATAGTGTGTGAAAAAAAAGACATTTCCTTCCTCCTCCTCCTCCTCCTATTGCCTAATGGAAGTCGTTAGAATCTACCACAGCGCACCAAAGAAAACCAATTACAGCTAAGGAGTCTCTAACGCAGCTGTAAGACATGTCAGCCAAAGCTTGCGAAACGCATCCAAACTGTCAAACTAGGCAGCTCTGATCAAATATGATTCAAGATTCTGTTACAGCATTGCCTATTTTTCTTTCAGATGTTTTCGGAAACATATTTTAGTGCACTGCTCAGCTGTAAAATGAGAAAGTTGGTCCAGGTTGTGGGAGTTTCTTGGTGTTTTGCTTGACTGTGTCCAACATGGCGACTGTCTCAATACTTTTTCACATTACAGCTGAACAATACACTATAGTCCCGTTTCCACAGAAGAAGTCCCTGGTACTATTTGGGGGGCAGGAATTTTACAGGAACGTCCTCTCGCACGGCCCTCTCAACCACCGTGTCTCCACTGTGCAGCGGAGTAGGAGGAAGGTTCCTGTAAAGTTACCGGGCTCTGGATGTGACGTAATTGTTGCGTGACCATTTTAAACAGGGCGACACGGTAAAGAAACAAAGAAAGAAGAACAACAACAAAGAAGAAGAAGCAGAAGTACGAAGCAGAAGTAAGGAGAAGAAAGCAGACGTAAGAAAGACGATAATCAACATGGAAGGAGCTGAGGTGGTTGCTGGGTTTCTGGCGTGTCTCTTCGTTTACATGGCGGTGGAAGCTATGTTTAGCCCCTGTAAAAGTTCCGGAACTCTGTCCTTCGGGGGTGGTTCCTGCGGTGGAGACACGCACCAACAGCCCCGGCCCCGTAAAATTACCCCGAAGTTCCTGCGGTGGAAACGGGCCTTATAACTGTGGTTCCCAACTGGTCTAGCCAAGGGGTTAGTCATTAGTTCAAGGTCCACACAGTTTAACGAATTCAGCGTCATACTTGCGTTTGGCCATGTCATTGAGCTAGTCTGCTGGCTCTATTAACTAACTGTCTGTTAATCACTCACTTAATAACACGAAACAACACTTTAAAATACAAGCTTTGTGCCTGAATTCACTGTACTTAAAAATTAAGTGTGTTTTTAACAAACATGACACATTTGCCAGTCACTTAAAGTCCAATTGAAATGGACCTGCGACCCACCAGTTGGGAACGACTGCACTATATCATGTTCGGTTATGCCATTAGAAGCAATACATGATGACAGAGGAACACAATTTGTCACACATTATTGGTCTCATACACTTCTGTGTGGATAAAGTGACCGTGTCAGCAGATATAACAAAAAGTTGCCAGCTACAGCTTTAATGTCAACTTCCAATGTCCAAAACTAATATGAAATGGTAAAATATAAACTACATCAATTTGAAGAAAAGTACAATCATAAATCACTAAGCTATCATAGCCCAGGATGGACGTACTGTACCTTTCCTGAAGGTTTTCCTGCTACTGTTTGCCAACAACTGCAGGCAAGGCTGAGAAACTGTCACAAAACATAAGAGAAATTGCTTATTCCATAGCTGTCTCTCTTTGTCTGTCTTCTGCTTCCCCTTTTCCATTCTGGGTATAATTCCACTAACATAGTCAGCACTAAGAAACAGTACAGTATACTGTGAATATTATTGTCCTGTACACCCCAGGGATATACACCATATAGTTAATAGTGAGCACTATGGATGGAAGCATTATCTCTCCACATCTGTTATTTTTAAAATGGTTGTCACCAAAAGTGATGCGTCATTCACATTCAGCTATTAGTCCACATTAAGACAGACAATATTTAGGGGGAGTTTTTTTTCCTTTTCTGATTAACAGGTCTAAGATAACATGGTATGTACAGATTGTGAAGCACTCTGAGGCATTTTTAATGTCATAATCTTTTTGCAAAAGTACCACGGGGTTGTGAAACGCCACCAATCTTGCATTCTAGGAAAATTTTAGCAACTAATCTGCATCTCATACATCAACAGAGACTGTCAGACTAGACTCAGGTGCGGCCTACCGTGTCTTACCTAATGTCTCTGATCCAGAGACCAACCTTCTATTCCTTGTCAGGGTGAACGCATCTTGAGTCCCAGGTTGGTGCAGAGGCTCTTGGCTGCTTCTCCTACTCATGTTCTCGGTCTGAACAGACAAAATGAAGTGTTTAGAACAATACGTGCAATCTTGTGCAGATGAAGGTGTCCTTAAAGACTAGTTTGTCGTCCCTCACCTGTCCTGCATGTTTAGCCTCTTGTCCCTCTTCTCTCCTGCGATACACCTCTGATTTGAGTCCCTCTACCTCAGCTCTGAGAGCCACCAGTTGGTACAGGGACAAAGCTGAAAGAGAGGAGGAGGTGACAGCAACCAGTGTCAGCAGGAAAACTGGCCAGGATAGCCTCCTCTCACCTGTCCTTGGTCCAGTCCCAGACTCAAAACCTGCCAAAGCTGCCATCGCGGGGCTCATATAATCTCCAGAGATCTCACACTGGCAGCATGACCAGTCTGAGGCCGGAACTACACCACCTCTCTTCTGACAGACTTGGGCTAGTTGTCTCTAGAGCCTCTGGCTTTACCTTAATGGCCCTCTTAAAGCACCACTGACTTCTTTAACTCTCGTTTTGTCCTTCAGTAGCCGGTTCCAATTCAGTCTGAGCGACTACGCAGAACTTATACTGTACAAAAAAGGGCAAAACAGCTTCCTGTCTACTGTTCCGCTCAGCTAACCACACCACACACACACACACACACACACAGCTTCCTGCCTGACCAGCAGCCCTGACAACTCTTTCTCTCCTTTCTTTTCATAATGCTCCATAAACACACCTCAACTTGTCCACACTGTAATGAAAATCCCATGTCATTTTTACAAAGTGGAAACAGGAAGGACAGGTTGCCAGTTGGACAAGTGACTGGTAGGGAAACACGGGGATAGAGAAAAGGAGAAACAGACATGACTAATGCCACTCTCACATTTGAAATTAACAACCACGTACTGAAAAAAAGGAAGTGCAAAAATGACTTCAACTTTAAACGGCAACATTGAACAGAAAAACAAACAAACTGCGATTCTAAGAATATAAAAGCTTAAGTGATGACAGGTTGCATAAATTAAATTGTAACTGCTACATCCCAAAAAAAAGCTTGTTTACACCAAAAAAACTACCAAAACGGGCAATTTTAATGTATCAATTTATTGCATGTTACAGTACAGAAAATAGAAAGTGAAAATGTGTGCTTACAAAAGAAGTTGTTGACATTGTTTTGAAATAGAAAAAAAGAAAACAAGGTAAATGGAAAATCCCCCAAACTAACTGACTGCTTCATACTGACGATAAAGATGTATCACTCAGATATCCCATCAATGTTCCCTCCATGTAGAGTCACTATAAGTCATGGTGGATGCAGACAAGTAACGTCAACACTGTGCAGGTCCGGTACAGAAATTTGAGACTCAATGCAATCATATGCCAGCTTGCAAATGCAAATTCCAAAAATTGTGCAGACACTTTCAACAGCCTTCATTCCACTCTGTTAACAATCATGTGAATACATAAAAATATCCTCCATAGTGCATTTGCAAAATACCTGGCAAAATGATTTTCTTTATTAAAAAAAAAAAGAAGAGACATTCAGTTTGATTCCACTTCATCAACAGGGTGTCGGACAATAACAATACATTTGGCTAGCAAAAAAACCCACAAATTCTCGTTGCTATTAATTTCGCTTTAGGCCAGCCAGAAAAACAATAACTCAACTTAAAGATGAAAAGTTCCTAAATCTTTTCTTGAATGAAACAAACAGCAGAAGTGTGCAAAGCAAAACGTGAGGGGAAAAAAACAAGTGTATATTCACATGTTTGCACGGTGTACTCTCACAACATATGATGGGATAAATCTAACTCAGCTTATGGATTTGATATAATACAAAATGTCTGAAACTGTTCGGTGCCGATGGAGGCGAAAAGTCACACACAAAAAAAAGGAGAAAAGACCATCTATACATTATTTCTTGTAAAGCACACTTGTTAATTTAAGACCACAACTTACATTCATAGTAGCCTTATTTAGACCAGTATTTTTTTTTCAAGTTCACATGGACACAAACAAATTTGGTCTTCCGATGTTTGTCAAATTTCGTCGCGCAAACTGTTGACAAACTGTATCAAATATGGCTAAGGAGATCTGTATTCAAATGGCTTTAAGACCACTGCAGTGCAGCATGCTGCATTTGGAAAGCGGGAGCAGAGAACGGTGATTTAATCGTCAGGCTCTGCTCCACCCCCTGGAAGACATGCAGGAAAGGTTAATTAGCTCATTAAAAGCCCTCCAAGTGAGTAAAGCCATTTTGCCACACAAGCACGGGGTGAGACGAGAACACAGGATCGTCCAATTAATTAATTATGGTGCTGATAATAGCAAACAAATAATCACAACCTTTGATTAAAAACACTTTATTTTTAGTTCTTAAAGGGTAGGTTTGTTTTTTTCAAGACTATCTTGATACAATACCCATGCGCCAATATGTGTGTGTTGGTATGACAAATGGTTGTTGTTATAGCCCCTCTTGTCGACACTGGTCATTCAGAAATCCCTTTCTTGTGCAATTAGAGTGTAAGAGATGGGGATAAAAGCCAGTTCTCTAAATATGAGGTTTCAGTCTGAATAGGGCAAAGTTTTTTCTTCACAAAATCTCTATTGGAATTTGCCAGACTGTGTTTCCTTGTTGATCTGGATGGAGAAACAGCAATCTTAATATCCATCGGCTATCAGTTGGACGTTAAGTCTCTGGCGGCAGGGGGCAATATTTTGGGCTGATCCAGTGAAGCCAGCGGATATCAGGGCCAAGACTTACTCTACTGTGCCTTGGTCATCCTGGCTTATCTCTATTCATTCATTGCATATGAACGCAGTTAAAAAGTTTTCAAAAAAATTTTAAGAATTAAAAAAAGCTAACTCATCGTCAGACAATAGCTGATGGATTCCGAGGTTACATTTCGTCCAATGCATTCCGCCTCTCAGACGACAAACCAAGTACAGGCGGAAACCACTACACTTCCGACATCAAAATCTTGTTCAGTTGCCTTCAGATTCTGCACACATATGCAGAATCTGTTTATAGAGATTAGAGGAACAGTTACACATAGAGGACATTTTCTACTTCATAGAATTGGAAAATACCCACTTGATTTATCGTACTCCAACTGCTGAAGCCTCACATTAGCTTCTGCTCAATTTTGGAATTTTTATTTTGAATGAAAAAGAGGACTATTTTGTCTACCATCGCTTCTTGGATTACACTGAATTCACGTTAGAAACATATCCCTTTACGATCAGTATAGACAGGAGAATTACAGCAACCAATAATATTTCAGTGTACGTGAGGGCACGTGTTATGGTGTTGTACTAAGACAGACTTGAAGAAATCCGCATCCATCCTTCAATAACAAACCACACACAGAGCAGCAACCAGACTGCTGTGTTTTAACAGGACACAGTGATGGGGAGAATATCTTGTAGCTTATTAAAATCGAGAACAGAAAGAGTCAGACAGGAAATCAAGTTGTTTTGATAGGCGGAAGTAGCAAACATGTCAACGTTATCATACTGACCACTTAACCTCAGCCAACACGTTCTTATGGCTGAATGTAATTATTCAACAGCAGAAGTTTTATGCTATTGTGCCAGACAAAAATGTAAGGGTATATATAAATATTAACCACTACAATGTCATGCCAAGCTGCTGCAAGGACTCTAAATATGAATGTTCCTCACCTAAAGGGGAGAAATAAAACATCCTTATACTCCTCACAGTATTGCTCAGAAGATATTTGCCTACAGAACTCAATACTTGGGTAAATCTGAACAAAAAAGTGCAATGTAATGTATTAACAAAGATATATACAGTTTAGGCCTACATATTAGCAGTGTTTCATTTTGTTTGAGGTGTATTTTTAATACCAGTAGTAAACAGTGTTTACTGTAATATTGTAGGTCCTAACATGGTCACCTTACGTAGAGCAACTGTTTCGGTTATTTTAATTAATTTCAGTAGACCCATTACGGCAAATATTTTGTGGTTGTGACATGGTTGTCTTGCAGTGTGGGCATGTATGCTCTGGCTTCATTATTTAAGGTCATAAATACATGCATTCATAGCTGCAACACAAAAGAACCCATGAGAGCACTGTCACCCTCTCTTAAAACCTTGAAATAGTCAAATCATTTTAACAAATATGTTACATTTACAGAAAGGTAGAAAGAGTGAAATAAAATAGAAACCCAGACAAAAGCATAAAAAATGTACATTCTTCCCAAAAATCAATTAAGTCCATCCAATCAATTCCCATTCATTTCCTCCAGCCCAAAATCTGTAGTCAACAGTCAGTCCATGACTGTTTATTTCAGATAATGGTGACACTAGCTGAGGGCTGAGCACTCTCCTCGTGGGCGTGGCTCTTCAGTAGGTCTTTCATGAACTGCTCCAGAGCAGCGAAGTAGCCCTGACACTGCCACGTGTCGTTGTGTGTGCCCTCTGGAAAGATAGCCAGACGTTTAGTCCGTGCAGGAGACAGCTCATACAGTTGCTTCATCATGACTGGTGGGATGAGCTGGTCCGACAGACCAGACACAAACAGCGAGGGCATGCGGCACAGCGCCACCTGTCGGTAGGACAGGAACTGATTTCTGTAGCACCACAGGGGCAGCAGGCGCATGGGCATGAAGGAGAAGAGTGTGGCTGCCATGTGGGGGATGCTGAGGAAGGTGTTTTCAACAATAATGGCTGCCACACGGTGAGGATTAACCGACGCCAAGCGCACAGCCACAGCACCCCCGAGTGAGCGTCCAAACAGCACCACCTTCGTCTTGTCCAGATCAGGACGGGTCATGACATAGTCCAGCGTGGCCTCGGCATCCAGGTACAGCCCATCCTCACTGGGCTCACCCTCACTCTTTCCGTAGCCGCGGTAGTCCACCAGCACCACGTTGGCTTTCAGATTGACAAGCATAAGCAGGGCGTTTGGCACCCTGTGACCAATATTACCTGCATTACCATGGAAATAAAGGATAGTAGGTGGAGCAGAGGAAGTGGGGCTGCTTTGATTGCCAGGGGTGACTCCAGGAGGCGTGTCCCCTCCTGTGTAGCGCAGCAGGATGAGGTTTAGCTTAACACCGTCCTTGGTGCGAATGTACACATTCTCATGTGGGATTCCTGTTGGCATTGGAACATAAAGGCGGGAGGAGGAGGGCTGGTCAGGGAAGTAGAGGAGCACATCCTGAAATTTGTAGAGGATGCCTGCCACAGAGGCTAGGATAAGAGCTAAGAGAAAGAATCCTCCGTACAGGTGGAAGGTGAGGATGAGGGCCAAGAGGGAGACTCGACAAGCACCCCAGGACCAGGAGGCCAGAGTCAGTGTACAACGCTCCATTGCCCCCCACAGCCTCCAGGGCTTTTCCATGGCTACACAAGAGCTGAGTCACACGACACACACTCTGCAAATAGAGAGAGTCAAAGACAGGAAAGAGAAAGAGAATGGGTTTAATATATGATAAAGAAAAATATTCAGGAAAACATAATTAGTAACAGGTTTACAATGCAGGAATTGTAAACAGTATCACCAATGAAAGTGAAAGCGAACCCTAGATCTGCTATATTTGCAGGGGGTTTTAGCACAATTTATGTAGCTTCCTCTTGCACACGTGCTGCTTATGGTCTGGCACTTGGTCGCTACCTTTTTGTTAGGTCCTGACCTCAGCTGTGTACTGTCCCCAGGAACGTTCTGAACATAGAAAATCAAACAAATATAAGAAACTAGAGGCAGAGGGCAGAGTCCCTGCAGATAAATACACTGCCTCACACTTCTGATGGGTCATAAGTGATGACTGAGTGGGATTACTTTTGTATAATTCTTTATATTTTGTTGTTAGGAAACCCCTGCGTAGTATTCCTTTAAGTTTTAATTTGTCTGTGATTTCTTTAACATAAAAAATGATGGGAATTACACATCAGAGCCCAATGTGATAGTTACAAAATGCTTATTTAATCTAACAAAGCAAAACCCCAGTATACAATCATATCAATACAAAGAACAACAACAAATTCTCACACTGAAGAATCTGTAACTATCTAATATGAGCCATATTCATGCCAGGAATGCCTGATCATTAAAACTGCCACCTAACAATGCTCATCCAACCAGGTCATAACCTCAATAAGGTTGTGGAAAGCAGTGCTTATTCAAAAGTATAGTGTCCAGCTAGCTAACTGCTAGGTTAACGCGGGTTAGCTCACTCTTGGCTGTAGATTATATAAATCCTATTTCAAGAGCTACTGGTATTAGGCCAACTGAACTGAATCACAGATAGTAATAGGTGTATCTGAAAAGGTAAATGCTAAACATACTGACTTATTTCACTTGAATTACTCAAAGCTTATTTAATAATTGTAAGTGTAAGCTCTTTGGTATCACAGACTAACATTTCCTCTTGAGCTGAATCATTAGCTGAAGGTACAACAAGATCACTTCAACACACAGTGCCTTGCACAATAGCCATAAAAAGCCTTGGAAGGTCTGACCCCTAGCAGCCAGTTGATTAACACCCTAATAACTAAATACTCCACTTTGTGCTGCTACTAATCCTGTCACTCAAACCATTAGGCAACTGGGAGCAACACCGTCATTTCCACCCTGTATTCAAGCCAGATTGCCACATAACTGACTTTGTGCCTTGCACAACTGCAATTACTATCAGCTCCAACCATTTCTTGTCTGTCAGCCTGTTTCAAGCAGATGGAGCTGGTGGTCACGCCTGGCACTGGAGAGCCCCACTATAGCACAGTTAAGCTGCTGCACCAGCTAACATTCAGGTGTTTTAGGGGTGTTTAGCCAATTCAATAGCTGGTTGACACCAACTCTTGATGAACTGTCACCCCAAACTTTGCTAAACAGGTGTGGGCAGTGTAGAAACAGCTGTAACCAGAAAGAGTAACGTTATGCAGTGGAGTAGCTCTCCAGGATTAGTGAGCACCACCGAAGAGAAAACATTACATTAACGCTAATGTTGCTGGGTACAATCTGAGAATAAATTCATAAATATTACAAGACTGAAAAAATGTCTTGACCCCACCCACAAGGAAGAGATGGTGACAGCTACTGCTAGCTTAGAGAAAAGCACGTAACTAACAGTTGACGTTAGCTGTTAGCTGCGACTAACGTCAAGAGAGCTTTGACAGGTAGCGTTAGCCAGCTAATCTTAACTAACGTTTAACGTCAGCGACAGCTATCACTAAGCAATCTTTTTCTGAACTGTCAAAACAAGCTGTTTCCGAGACGGTGAAACACCAAGCTTTGAAGTGACTGCTCATAAAACCACACTAATCCCTATCAAAATCGACGTTGGCTAGCTTAGCTGCGAGTTAGCTCCGTAACAAGCATGCTAACTATCAAGCTACCTTCTATTTCCATAGCTACTAGTGCTATCAGCATTGTTACACCGTTTAAATTTAGCCACCTATCTTTCAGTGGTTAGCAAGGTGGCTACATACTCACCCGTCTCTCATTTTAGCGCCTCAGCTGCATGAATGTTTTGCAAGACAGTAACACTTAGCACAGCCACTGTCATGCAGCTCGGAAGCAGTTAAGTAAATAACAGTGAAAGTTAGCTGGTGAAAACGCAAGGTGAACAACTGTCAGTGATAACCGGCGAGGCTAGCTGTACAGCTGGTTAGCATTACTGGTGTAGCCTTCGTGAGTTCCGTGTTGGGCTCAGCGCTAGAAACAAGGGTTCCGGTTCCACTCCCAAAGCAAAATAAAACTATTTTGAAATATTAAATAGAGTGAATCCGTCCACTGAATTATAACGACAACAATTTGGAATTGAAACTAATAATTATGTATTTTGTAATATCATACTAAAACTACTAATCATATATTTTTTCAACGTATGTATTCTGAAGCATTTTTACTTCATGTAACTGGCTTTGCACAAAGTTTCGTCAACTTGAAAACTCTTCTCAAAAGGACATTTTTTATGGACTCATGGATAATTTATTTAATTAAATTTAATTAATTTATTTATTTTACCTTCCTGGAAATGTCTATACACACAAATCCCAGTATAGTGAAGTGAAACCTAAGTTTAGTGTTATTCATAATGAGTTTCTTCCTCAAATAAAAGCCCTTAAAATCATGAAAAATAAAAATACAATGAACCTTTTTTTGCGGTATAGAAATAGAAGCATATGATTAAAAAACAAGTAGTTTTTTCTGTCTTTAATATGCATCTATCAATGTAATGCAAAGATCTTAAAGCTATGATGTTTGTAAATGAGAAATTGTTAAGTTTTCTAAAAAAAGAAACAAAGGTTCTTCTTCTTTGAGGTTTACCAGCAGCTGGCATCCTTAGTGCTGCACTACTGCCATCCTGTGGAGTTGGTTAACGCCGACAGTGTCTGGTTTGGCATGTTTTTCACATCATGGGAAGCTGATTAATCATCCTCAGCTGTGTCCACTTCCACTATACTGCAGTATGTTTTTGAATCCTGACAATGTTCACAGGGGCAAGACTGATGCTTTCCTATAATGCAAAGTGTGTCATTTGAGATGTGCCATTCTTAGTGTGGTCATTATTATCTCATCTGTTCCATTCCCTCCCCTATTTTTCACAATACCCACTCTTTTCCATACAGTGTTCTTTCCCTATGATTTTTAAAGGTCAGTACAGTTGTCTATGTTCTTTCTTATCAGCTTGTTTGGCTATTTTGTCCACTCTCTCATTACCCAGAATGCATGAATAAGTAGGAACCCAAATGAATGTGACCTCAGTGCCCTGCTGTGAATGTACTGCCATTATTTTTGAATAGTAAGTCCTGGCGATTTTTGGATGCACTTGTCATAAGACTGGACAGAGCAGAGACTGAGTCACTATGGACAAGGACTTTGTTTGATTTTATTTGTGCAACCCATTTAAAGCCAACAAAATGGCATGCAACACAACAGTATGTAAACAAATTTGAAGTTTATTTACAGATTTCAACTCTTTGCAAGTTTTTTGCTGCTGCATCTCTTGTCCAGCAATATTAACGCTAATTTTGGTGTCTTTTCTCTTTCCCAGCAGGACTGTAGCACTCTTTTTGGTTGGGTTAATATCTCCATGACTTCTCACATTCAACCAATAGCTCACTAGGTGCCATTTTCTGTGTGGCAAGTCTCCTGTCACACAATCCTGTCATAACCTTAGAGCCCAGGCCTGCATCATATCTCATTCTCCAAGTACAATTTTTCATGCAGATCCATAAACTACTCTCCCATAATCTAACCTTGATCTCATTACATCTAAAGCCAAAATACACTCCAAGAATCAAAATGTCTCTGCTCTCCCTAAATTACTCCCTTACAGTTTTGCAGGACACATGATCAGCATCAATTCTCTTAGACAGTGTTGCAGCATCTTGAGATATCACAATAGCGAGAGCAGCAATCATTACGAATGTCTCATATCAATCATATGATATCTTTAACACTGTATCATGCACATCACAATGCACTGGGTGTTAAAAAGAGTGGTCTGACTGAAAGTTGATCATTCACTATTGCATGTGCTGTTCCATATTTGCCCACCAGGTGCTGCTGTTGGAGAGAATATAATCCGGAATGTTCACTATGTAAAGGTTATAATTTTTCAGGTTAGACAAAAATAAGGTTAAAGCTGATATTGATGGTGGCCTAAAAGAATCTGCACTGGGCACTAGAAAGCTTGATTCCCAGGAGATAGAGTCTCAAAGGTAAATACTGTTTGTAAGCAGTTTGTTTCTTAAACCATGATCCTAATGTATTTTATAACTTGGGATACTACCTGCTGCTCTGATGTCAACAACAGACTACAAATGCATGGAGTCCAAATTGTCACATTTCACACTCTACATAAACGGATCAAATTGCCAATGTAACTGCTGACAGGTGCAATGTGCTGAGAGAAATTTCATTTAATTAAGTGTCCCTTGATGAAAGGACAACAAGGACAGTAAGCATAACAATCTGTAAACAATATCTCAGTTCCCATTTACCCTGGAGAATGACTCAGTGTCTGCTCTGAAAATTGCTTGTACTGCATAAGGTGAGGTCAACAAAACTCACAAAGGCACGCCAACTAAGGATTTGAGCAGACTGATTGTGACTGTATGTTCTCACACTGGCAGTGACTTTACATACAGTCAACTGATGATCTCTCAAACTCATCAGAAAATAAAACCTTAACATGTGGACCATGAAGCAAAAGCCTCGTTAAATACACATCTGAATGTTACTTGTTGATTTTTGATCCTCTTCCCGGTTTCACTATCCGTGTTGCTGTATTGAACGTCTTGCTCACAGTCAGTGTGGCCTTGAAGGAGAAAGACAGATTATGGGCAGACTAAGCTGTTGGCCATTCAGCTCTGTCCTTGAGGTTTGTTGGTTTGATTTGGTTGTGTCAGAGTCAGCATCAAAACCCTAGATGGAGCACACTTCTGTTCTGTCAGATAAAGCTGTAGGCTACCAATACCTCTTTAAAGAAGTGTTGCAAAATCGGAAAGATGGTGTTTTTAAAATAAAAATAGACTGTCTATGAAGTAGAAAGATGCTGCTTTTTTGTTTTACTCTTTAAATTGGTGCTACATGACCAGAGAAAACAGACTAAGAGTAGTGTAGTACTCGTTTTTTCTCAAGAGACAGAAAACCTACAACTACCAGAATGGACTGCACCACACCGGACCAATAACCGCTCCCGCTTTTGGGTGATGTCATACGAGTTTGCCTGTTTTGACACTGGAAACAATATGGCTGGTGACAAACAATTTCAAATTACAGTTAAAAGGTAAAAACAACCTGTGAACATCAAAAAGACAAAGGAGCTCTTCATTGACTTCAGACGGCAACAGGAGGAGCATCTACCATTTAGAATAGGAGAGAAGGAGGTGGAGAGGGTCCCTAGTTTTAAATTCCTGGGAACCCACATAAGCGAGGAGCTCCTGTGGACCATAAACTCCACTGCTCTGGTAAAAAAGGCCCAACAGAGACTATACTTCCTCAGGATGCTGAGGAGGACCAAACTCTCTTGAGTCTTTCTATCTTTCTACCACTGCTCAGTGGAGAGCATCTTGACGTACTGCATCACAGCCTGGTATGGGAACTGTTCGGCGGCAGACAGGATTGGCAAAGACAGTACTCACCCCTTTCCTGTTCACACTGCTGCCCTCGGAGAATGCTACAGGGCCCTGAAATGCCGCACCTCCACACTGAGGAACAGTTTTAACCCCAAAGCCTTACACAAACTGAACTCTCTCCCCCCAAATCCCCCTCATGCATCTATTTTCATCTTCTTATCTGGGGCTGGATCGCACCCCAGATGTCTCTCTCCCAGCAATGCTTTCCAGCTCCTCCTGTGGGACCCCAAAGTGTTCCCAGGCCAGATGAGATATGTAATCCCTCCAGTGTGTTCTGGGTCTGCCCAGGGTCTCCTACCAGTGGGATGTGCCCGGAACATCTCCAACAGGAGGCGCCCAGGAGGCATCCTAATCAGAAGCTCAAACTACCTCAACTGACCTTTCTGACACGAAGGAGCAGCGGCTCTACTCCGAGCTCCCTCTGGATGTCCGACCTCCTTACTCTATCTCTAAGGCTGAGCCCAGCCACTCCACGGAGGAAACTCATCGCGGCTGCTTGTATCCGCAATCTCATTCTTTCAGTCACTACCCAGAGCTCATGACCATAGGTGAGGGTTGGGACGTAGATGGACCAGTAAATCGAAAGCTCCTTCTTCACCACGACCATCCAGCTGAACCATACTGCCAATCCATCTCATGCTCCATTCTACCCTACTTGTGAGCAAGACCCCGAGATACTTGAACCTCTCTTATTTTAGCCTTATCCTATTTTAATGTGTGCACATGTGAGTGTGTGTTGAGCAAATGGAACAGTTTTTCTTTTATGAGAGACAGCAAATTTGGTTGTATGTGAACATGCAATGACAATAACAATGTCATTTTTTCAGCCTCTGTTTTTTACAATGCAGGCGGAAGTATGGTGCCAACTTCCTGACCACAAATTTTTGTATCACAGCCAAACAGTGCACTAAAATATGTTTCTGAAGGCATCTTAATCTTGGTTTATATTTGATCAGCACTGCCTAATTTTATAGTTTGCTTGAAGTTTGGTTTGATCCAAATTTACTTGGAAAATGGCCTTTAAAGGGAAAGTTGTCTATTTGAACTAAATCATCCAGACAGAGGAATGAGAACAAAGAGCTGCATTTATTAATTACTTTATTTCAACTGGAACAGATTGGCTTTAAGATTATGTCCATGTTCAAACTCATTATTCAGACTCTGTTTAAAAAAAGAGGGCGAAGCTAATAACAGGGAGTGCTGCATTCTGATGGATTCAGTTTATACCATAAGAGACTGACAGCTGGCAAGTTCACTCTCTCTTACCTACGACTCAATTACCTTTGACATGCCAGTCAAAACATCTATTACACACACACTCTTGCACACACTCCAACTCTCATACACACTTATACAGGCACGCTCTGTGGCTCAACCCTCGTATGCCACTACTCAATTACTTGAAATATAGCACTCCAAACAGCTGGAGGGCCTGAGCTCAATAATACAAATTCAGAGCCGCTACAGGACGAGGAGTGACTGTGATGACCTCGCTGGGAATATGATATCATCAGGCCAGAGGACATGCTTG